CAGCTACCCGTGGGGCAGCAGACGTGGGCAGTGGGGAGCTGTGGGGCTAAGTGCTGCCTTCGGTGGAGGACGACTTGGGGGACAGCCGGGAAGCTGCCAGAAGCGTCTGTATGGCCATAGTACCCCCCGAAAACCCCGTTTCCCCACAGGGAGCTGGGAGCCCTGGAGTGGGATGGGAAGGGCACTGGGAGGTGGTATCGGCCGTGCCCCTCTCTGGCAGTTCCCCCGGCTCTGCTTGCACCCCACCCTGTCCCCAGTGCCACTGGACGCGTGTCTGTCAGCCCGCGCCCCCTGAGCTGTCGCCCAGGGAGACCTTGTGCCCTCGCAGCCCTGCCTGCAGCCTGCGCTCAGGGGGACGCCCTGTGTTCTCTGTCCCCAGCGCCCCGGCCCTGCTCGGAGAGCGAGTTCTCGTGTGCCAACGGCCGCTGCATCGCCGGCAGGGGGAAATGCGACGGGGACCACGACTGCGCCGATGGCTCTGACGAGGGATGATACTGAATCCGTGCCCTCGTTTGGGAGGTGTGCCACGGCCCCCCCGTCCGCTGGCAGTCGCCCACCACCAAGGTGGAGCTGAGAGCCTGGTCCTGGGTGCAATCAAGAGACGGGAGGCTGCTGCAGCTGGGGCTGTCCCTGCTGATTGCTGTTCCTCGCCCTTGCCCTGCAGAAAGACTGCACGCCGCGCTGCGAGTTCGACCAGTTCCAGTGCAAGAACGGGCACTGCATCCCCATGCGCTGGCGCTGTGACGCCGATGCGGACTGCATGGATGGCACCGACGAGGAGAACTGCGGCACTGGGGGTAACGGCAGCACCGCGTGGCTCCCTTGGGGCTGGTCGCCTTCCCCTCCCCATGCCCTCGTGCCTCCTGTGTCCCCGCTGTGGGTGGGAGCGCTGCCCTGGGTGTGCACAGACACATATCCGAGCCCTGGAGAGCCCCCAGCTATGCTGGAAATTGGAGTTGCGGCCCCAGACGGGCGTTTTGGCAGGCATGCAGCGCTGGCTGACATGTCTTCTCCTGCCCCGTGCTGTCGCAGTTCGCACGTGCCCTCTGGACGAGTTCCAGTGCAACAACACGCTGTGCAAGCCCCTGGCCTGGAAGTGTGACGGGGAGGATGACTGCGGGGATAACTCGGATGAAAACCCCGAGGAGTGCTGTGAGTGATGCCGCGTTGCCTCTCCCCGCTTCTGGCAAGGCCCCTGCCTGGCACGCGTCTGCCCGAAGGGGCAGCTGCCTGCCCCGAGCACCCGCACGCCGGGGATGGGTGACAGTCCCGGAGCTTGGGCACCACTGCGGGTACCCGAGGGGGCTGTGGGTACCTGCAGCAGCTCCACGGGTCCCCTCTAGAGGGGTCCCCTCGGGGGCGGCCGGTGGGGCCAAGGGGGCAGGAGATGGCTCCGGTCAAGAGAGCGGAGTTGCAGAGGTGCTGAGCCGGGCACGGGGCAGGCAGCGGGGAGCGGGGGCTGAAGAGGGCTGGGTGAGACGAGGGCTGACCCTCCTGCAGCTGGGCCAGCAACCGGGCAGTTGTCTTTGCTTCAGTCTCTTTGCTTTAGTCTCCGGAGGCCGCACGCCCTCC